ATGGATTCCCCAGTTGCCTCCGCTCGTTCTCGAGTTAGCCACGTACCCCGAGGTGTGAACAAGCTTTGCAGTGATGATTTTTCCAGTAACTTGAACAGTAAAACGGCCATGGAGCCAAAACAAACAGGCGCATGGACATTTACCTTTGACCAACCTGTACCTAAATGTATAAATCAATTATTTGGTATTAATAATAATTAGTGATAATGCGCTGGCTTTGGCCTCACCAAAACCAATCATGTATTAGCATTCAAACTCCAGCATGCACTCAGGAAAACAAGAGACTGTAGGGTCTTTCGTACCTATTTCACACAGTTCTCCATTCCGGCCAGGTACACACTCACAAGTAAAGGTTGCTTCTCTGTAGTCTTGGTGACATGTCCCACCTCGCTGACAAGGCTGGCTAAAGCATGGCGGAACCTAGTAACGAAATTGAAGCGAAATGTCCAGTGGCATGAGTACCAGAATAAATTGGGTAATTCCTTGTAATTAATATGTACTTGAAGTGAAGTTAACCTCAAGATGCCCAGACATAAGAGGGTAACGCCTCAACGTGAATTAGAGACGCGGTGGCCTCATGGTTAGTGCGCTCGTCTCCGGATCGAGCGGTCCGGGTTCGAGCCCTGGCCGGGGACATTGTGTTGTGTTCTTGGGCAAGACACTACTCTCACAGTGTCTCTCTCCACCCAGGTGTATAAATGGGTAGCGGCAAATTTAATGGACTAGCTTCCCATCCAGAGGGGAGTAGAAATACTCTCAATTGCTTCATGCTACTGAAACTGAGATAAGCTCCAGCCTGATGAGCCACTTGGCTCGTATGCAGACTTTACCTTTTTACCTATACAAAAATGTATATCTGAAGTATTCTCAACAATCTTATTCTAGTATGAAAAAAAGCATCTCTTGTGAAGTGTTCTAGCATTTTTAAGTTTAATATTAAATTTAAAGGTACAAGAAGTGAATATTTTTATATAATTTGTGAAGATGTAATCTTTGTGCTGTAAGTTTATCAATATATACTTTGTTTTGTAGGAAAGAAGAAGAAACAACCAGTGAACTACAGTAGCATAGTGACAGATTTATTTGATGGCACAATACAGAGTTCAGTGCAGTGCTTAACCTGTCACAGGGTATGAAACATAGCAAATTCAGAAGGCCATCAATATTGTCTTCCTTTGCTTACTTTTTGTTGTCAGTAGCTTAAAAAAAGTTCATCCTTAAGTAGCTTAAACAAGGTAAATGGAATCAAGCTGATTTGAAAAATTTTAAAAACTGACAAAAAAAGGAAGCTTTAATTTATGATATACAGGGCTGTAACACATGTCATTTAGGTGCAGAGATTCACATGTAAAATTAACCTGTTTTCGCGAAACAGTGCAGTCGGTGCTTATAAATTAACTTCCTTTGTTTTTCGTGTATCAATGAGTTTGATAATACTATTGACAGATCTTTTGCCACGAAGCCCTGACTTATAACTTGTATTTCCATTACATTTTGTCTTTAAACAAGGATGAGAAAGATGACTTGGTATCGATGCTTAATTTTTTGTATTGTATTATCTTATTTGCATGTAAAGGTTTCATCAAGAGCAGAAACATTTCAGGATGTGTCTTTGCCAATTCCAGGTAAGGAAATAGTCATTGAATTAATGGGCAGGGGCATTCATGCTTACAATTACATGCAAATGCTGCTCAGGGGAAACATTCTGGCCCTAAAGGTTTCTGCTTACAGGTAGTAACTTTTTTTTTCAGGCAAGGATGAACTGACAGTCCTTCATGCTTCACAGTGCACTGCTCTGGCATCATGCTCATCTGTGATGGACAAAGATCAGGATAAAGGCTGGATGACAACAATATTTGAATGGCTGAGAAGGTACTGTATGAGTTTGGTACCTAGATGACTGTTCTTATTTCTTTGTTACACTTAATATTTCTTTGGTTCATAACTTAAAACTGAACTGACCTGTGCAAAAATGTCTGCATGGTGTCTTATATATTTTGGGATAATGGCAGGTTAAGATTTGATTGACTGACTGACTGACTGACTGATTGACCGATTGACTGATTGACTGATTGACTGACAGACCAACCGACTGACTGACTGACTGACTGACTGACTGACTGACTGACTGACTGACTGACCGATTGACCGATTGACCGATTGACTGATTGACTGATTGACTGATTGACTGACCGATTGACTGACCGATTGACTGATTGCTTGATTGATTGATCGACTAATCGACTTATCCTCTGAGATCGACTGATCATCTGATCATCTGATCAACTGACTGATATTTCTGAACTGTTTGTTTTATTTACTAGGTGGTTTCTAGGTCCACAAGTCACTCTTCATGACTGTCTGTCAGCATTTTTTTCAGCAGATGAATTAAAAGGTGTGTTGTTTTCCTGACGCAACTTTTTGTCAGGGATATTATTTGTGGGTTTAATACAATATATCTCTTGATTCTATCTGTCTGAACCTTAAATTAGTGAATGATTTTATTTTTCTCCTTATCTGACCAAAAACAGTTCTAGACCAACCACAGGTGCTGTCATCCCTCTGGCATCTAAAATCCTATCATCAGCAAAATTCTAGATCTTTATCTCTATACGTTTACACATTTACATAGAAACTGAAATGTATGCTGGCTCTGTGTGAAAGCAACAAGGTTCTAGAAATGGCTTTACTTTTCTACCTTAAAATAAAGATATTCCTTGTCATCAATATTTCTTAATCAAGTCCAGGTTTATTCATCATGCTGCATATTATTTTTTTAATCAGGAGATAACATGTACAGTTGTGAAAAGTGTAAAAAGTAAGTTTCTAGCTTTTTTTATTGCAATGCACACAACTATTTACACAACTTTCATTTCAATACTTCACTACTTTACTATACATAATAAACAGGACTTACGGTATAACACAACTAATTCACACTCACTCACGCACACACACCTACGAACAAGTTTACATAGCAAAGTCACACCTATTTGAGCCTGACATATTCTAAGTTATTTAAGTACTTCTAGTGTTTATATTGCCCACTTCTCCCTGAGCATATCTAAATTATTATTTTTTGTACAGACTGATGTATTTTTCAGTCTCATACTTAATTTGACTTTTGATTTAAAACCTCATATACTTGGAAGTTGTAAGTTTCCAGTTGCTCTTGTCTTATACCTTTAGTTTTTCAGTTTGTGCTTAATTATAATTTGAAAAATTTGTCCCATATTGAATTAGGACCGTCAATATACATGTGAATATATTGTGTCTATTATAGTCAGCTAGTCTGAGTAAAATTCTAAGTTGCTGATTTTGCTTCAAATTTACACTGTATACTTATTTGAAATTTACAAAAGTGGACTTTCATGATCCACAAGAATCGTACTGTCTACAAGAATACAATCATTTTAAATCCTTTTTTAATTGATGTAATGGTTGTTGACAGAGGTAGTGCTTATTATTTACATTATTTGCATTATGTTCAGCAATTACAATTTTTACTTGTTTGCTTTCAGGTTAAGGAATGGCATCAAACTTTGTAAAGTAACGCACCTTCCTGAAGTATGTTGGCACTTCTTGCCAGTTTTACTGTAGCTTATTGTGAACTCCTTCTTAAACAGTGGTAAACTCATTTTAGTTTCTGATTCCCTGGTTAGTGCCTGGACTTTGGGTTGAGTAGTTCAGATTGGAGCACTGGTCAGAGTCATTGCATTGTATTCTTGGGCAAGACACTTAACTCTCACAGTGCTTTTCTCCGACCAGGAATTGTATGGGTACTGGTAATTAAAGCTGAGGGGTAACCTGGCTATGGACTAGCATCCCATCCAGGTGCCAGGTGGCGAGGGAACCTACAAACATGGGTACCAAAGTAGTTGAGACACTTTTAGAAAATGACACTTTTTGATATTTAACTGCTCATTCTATTTCAAGAGCATCTTGTGATAATTCTCTGATACCCCTGACCCCCCAAGTCAGTGCTGTGTAGGTGATGTGGCCTGCGTAGTCTTAGAAAGAGAAAAATCAATATTGTTTGGTGGGAGGGGGATGTTTCAAGAGGTATGAAAATGGAATGTTACTGTGAAGTGTCTCAGCACCTTCGTCGCTCATAGTTCCCACATGGTACAAATACCAGAGATAGGTGCTGCCCTTGTTTAATAGTAAGAGAAAGAAAATAGAAGTCAAACTTGTTTGAAATTATTTTGAACTACAGTAATGGTGTTTTGAGCTTAAACAGGACTGAATTTTGAATTCGAATTCTCATCAATGCTTATTTGATCCTTCTTAGCCCATGTACTGGAGTGACTGACTTTAACCTCTTTGTCTCTTACATGTAATAAAGAAATGTAGAGCTTTAAGGGTTCCTCTCTATCTGACTTGGTTGTTGCTGGTAGACACTGGTTTAAAACAATACAGCAGATACAACTTTAACACAGACTCGCTAACTAGTAGTTCCCGGATTTGAACCTTCATGTCAGTTTTGAAGTCTTGTGATATACCATTAATTGGTTGAACCCATTCTTCAGAGTTTACTTATTTATTGTATCTTTAAAGCTGCAAAATTGAATCAATTGCATGCCATTGATATAATTAATGTTACTGAATAATGTTGCAGTGAATTTGCTAAAACTGCCTGCATTAGCTGCTCGATAGTTTTCTTTTGAACAGAAATTTGTTGGTGTTGATTACTACCCTAAACGCTAGAACCATACTAATTAACAAAAGGTTGAAAGCGATAATATTCTGTCTCTTTTCTCTGTCTTGCAGATTCTGTGCATTCATCTGAAACGTTTTAAGCATGAAATGTACTTCTCTTCAAAAATCAACCACTTCATTTCTTTCCCTTTGACTGGGCTGGACATGAAACCTTTCCTTGTTAAAGGTTTGTAATGTTTTATTTTTTTTTACTCATTTAACCTTTTGAGGCATCTTACAGCAAGGCCAAGATCATGAAGTAGATGGAGCTATTAGCTGGCTGCCGACGACTGTTACAAAAAAAATACAAAATTTACTTTTATTTATAAGAATACTCAGGATTAAATTATAAAATTATAAATTATAAAGCACATCTTAATAAAGAAACAAGTATGAAAACCTTCTTTTCAATGAATCTGTAGTTGCAATGGCTCTCGTAAAACCACACTGAAATTCATTCTAATTACCATAACTGTAAATCTACTAGACTAGTGTTTTACCATGAATGCTGCTCTCTTATTGGCTATCCTACTGTTTGCTCTCTAGTTTGTTGTAGATAGTGAGTAGCGTAGTGTGTACAGTTCTCAACAAAAAGGCAGCTGTTTCTTTGCATTTTTAAAGTGTTGACATCATTATTTAAAACGTGAACCAGTCTTGTTGTTTAAGTTTTAAGCAACTGGTACATTTATATTAAAACAATTAGATTATTTGTTCTTGATTCCTACGCATGATAGTTGACTTAGGCTACACCCTTGTCACCTATCACACTAAAGAAACCTTGAGTTTATAATTTAATTGTTACAATTAATGATAGAATTTACTGGTACTACCTTATAGTCTAATACGTACTTAAACAATACTTATAATCTAAGTTTTTGGGTATTCAGATTTCAACCGGCTGGATCCAAATCAGAAATGTACAACGTATGATCTTGTTGCTGTTATCACTCATCATGGCAATGTTGGAGGTAGGTGTCCTCATATAGTTTCTTTTTGTATTTTCTTTCTTCTGCAGGCTTTTCTCTTAGTGAACACTTGCAGCCATGTTTCTATGCTCCTGTTTATAGTAAAATAATGACAATGTTTTGTTCCACCTAGCTGGACATTATGTGTCCTTTGCCAAGAATTATATCAATGGTAAATGGTACGAATTCAATGACTCCTGGGTTAGTGAAGGTAACTACAACAATGCTGCTACATTACTAAAGTTTACAAATAATTTTATTACATTATTGAGTCAACAGGCTTTAAATTTTAACATACATTTTGAGAGGAACTTGATGTGACTTTAATCCTGCTTTGCACTGTGTCAGATACGAAGCTTATTTGTATTTTACTTGGTTTAACATTTCAGTTTCTGATTCATATGTTGCTGATGTGGAAGCCTATGTGTTATTTTACAGGTTTGTAGTACCCTGTACTAGAGGATTCTTTTAAACCACTTCAGATGTAGAGATAAGTCCCTTTTAAACTACCTTTCCCACTCTCCTTAGAACCTCACTTTCTCATTAATTAAGGCTCCTTATCAAGTTGGTTACGCCTGATACAGAGCTTGTATCTGTCACAAAGCAAACAGTTGAACAAAGAAATAAAAAATTCATGTTTAAACTTCTCTGCAGAAAATCAAGTGAAGAAGCCACCAAGGAACGCAAGACATTTTTTAATTTGCTGAAAGATGCACAGGTCCTGCTAGTAGATGTATAGTACTTCATTAAGGAAACAGGTTTATATCAATGTTGTTGCCCAGTGATATTCTTCAAGTCCTTTGTTAAGAAACTTATGTCACTGTGCCAAGCAGGCAGTTCAAGAAATTAATTTTAAGGTTGGGCCATGCTACAGATTCTGAATGTTGACTTACGCAAGGGTATAATAATATTATAATTAAGTTAATTTAGGTCATTCCTTGTACCAGAAAAACTGTGGAGAAGTAAAGAAAACAGTGTACCAGAACTTGGTCAGAATACATTTTTGTTCTTTTTTTGTGGGTGGAGCTGCTTTTCACTTTAATTTGGATTTTCTTTTTTCATACAGTCCAGTGAATTCAGATACTTTGTGTCCAAGAAATGGTTAACCAAGTTCCAGTCATGCATGGAACCAGGTAACAAAGACAAAAATTATGCTAGAAAGCCTCTGATTGACTGATTTGCTACAGTCATGTACATTATTTTTAGCATGGTTGAAGAAGATGCTTACATGTACTTCATCTCTTGTATGTTACAGGACCTATAACAAACTCAGACTTCATGTGTCGTCATGGAGGTAAGTGATCAATCAGTGCAAAAGTGACCTTAATTCCATTCCTCTGTCTAATCACAGTTTCTCCCTAGGCAGTGATCTACAGCCCTATTTGTCTATACATTATCAGGACGTTATAAACAGATAGTTGTCAAGTAGAAAGGAAACCATCCACTACAGGAACTGATATACAATACCATAAATTGGCAGATTTAAAATCCAGAAAAACTAATGTGCAAAAAGTGGGGAAAATTATAATAATTTTATTTGAAGAGCTTTTTGGTCTCCAGAAGTTAAATGTGAGACTGTTGTAGCATGTTATAAAAGTAGGCAAATTGTGTAGTTTTATAAGAAAAAAATATGGCATAAATTTATGACGTTTTAGCAGAAATTCTTTATCAGCTAGAGTGTAGGCACATATGATGTCATACATGTCAATGCTTTGTCCTGGTTGAATGCTTTCCTATTTTTGGTATCACATTGTCGATAAATATATGAAAAAGCAAACGCTAAATATTGAGTTGTGTATGCAGTGGGGATTTGTATTGCATGCCTCTCTCTGCCTATGACTGCACAAGGTTTCTTATTATTTCTTATTTCCTGTAGCTATTCATCCATTAAACATGGAAATAGTTCATGACATCACAGTTCCTCTTCCTGAATCTGTTTGGAAACATCTCCTGACGCGGTGAGTTCAATAGCATTCCCATACTTTTGTATGCTCATAAAATTTGAGGTATGAATCAGGATTGACCTCTTTAAATCTTGCATGTGTATAGGTTTGGAGGAGGACCCCCAGCCACAACACTGAACATGTGCAGACATTGTAAGGTGCGGAAGCTTATGACAAGAACTCTTGTTTAAAACAGCAGTTACTTTACAGTGTTCATGGGAACCTTGATGTACCAGTACATTTTAAAATTACAAATGCCTCTTGGTTGGTTTCTGTCGTTGTCATGAAACAAAGGAATAATCATTTTCTATTTTTTCTGTTTTGAACAAGGCAAAACATAGGATGCTGACCATGTTTTTTGGCCCATTTTTTCCTCAAAACTAAGTGGAAACTAGCAAAAAAGAAAGCCAGGGCAATGTTTTTCAATTTATTTAAAGGTCACATGCACAAATTCTGCTAATTTGAACCAAAACAAACCCAAAATCACCATATATCCCCTTTTACCACTAGCTTCTTCAACTATTGTTCAAGGGATTTGATGTTGTGATATAACTTGTGACACAACATTATATATTTTTAGCAAACACTACTAAGAAAATATGCACGCTGATTGGTTAAAAACACATAACTAGCACGAGCTGTCGACGTAATGATGGCGCAGGCAAAGAGAATTTACATTTTGATAATCAAAGTTAACAAGTTGTTTTCCTTTTTTTGCCATGGTGTTTTCTAAAAGAAATAGAAAACATGTTCTCTGTGTTTTTATCAAGTTATAGAAACACTCGTGAAAGTTTGGGAGAACTCAAAAAAGCTGTGGAAACGCTAGCATGCTGCTCGTGTTCCCACAGCATTTCTCATTCTCTCCACTTATGTTTCTATAACTCGATAGAAACACGGTGCATGGTTTCTATTTCTTAAATAATGTGTTTGTGTATTATAACAGAAAGCACTAGATGAACTTGAAAGAAGAAGAGAAAGAGAAATGGAAACATTCAAAAGGGTAGGTACAGTCATTCTAATGTCACTGCCAAACTAGTTGAAGTTTACAGATAGCATGTGAATAGCTCTTGAAGAATCTCATTTTACAATGATCCTTTGACTTTAGATTGCCCAACAAACTGTCCCTTGTTACATACATACATACATACATACATTCTTTATTCAAGACGCACAGTTACAAAAGTATACATATAAAAACAAAAGATAAAAAAGAAAAGGTGTCTCGAAAAGGAAGTTATGAGGTAAACCCTATGTAAGATGTATGTATGAGGTAAACCCTATGTTGGCCCCATTTTAGAATTTTTATCTGCTAGGCCTATTCTTTAGGAGATCCTTCTCAGTTACTAAGATAGTCAGCAGTTAGCAGATAACCCTCGCTATTATAATCATCCTCAGACAAGTTTTATTGTGTTATCAGCTGAACCATGACTATCCAGCCAATGACAATGTGGATATGTACTGCATCAGTATGCGATGGTTTAAACAGTGGGAGATGTTTGTTAAGGGACACGAGGATGGTAAGACTCAGCAAAAGAATGTTGTGTCTCTTAAATGACCTCTTTACTAAAGGAGCTTTTATATAACCGGTCTTCCTATAAATATGCCTTGAAGCTTTTTCACCTTCAACAGGTTAACAAGAGGCCAAAAGTTTATTTTGAAACACTGCTACACTTATTTTAAAATTACAGTAGCTATAATTATTTGTTTGAATAGTGTGAATTGAAGCTGACTGGATGTGATCTTCCAGAGAAATTAAAACTAAGCATTATATATGAAAACTACTTGTTGTTTTTCAGATCCCCCAGGTCCTATTGACAACTCTAACATTTTANATGAAAATGGAATGTTACTGTGAAGTGTCTCAGCACCTTCGTCGCTCATAGTTCCCACATGGTACAAATACCAGAGATAGGTGCTGCCCTTGTTTAATAGTAAGAGAAAGAAAATAGAAGTCAAACTTGTTTGAAATTATTTTGAACTACAGTAATGGTGTTTTGAGCTTAAACAGGACTGAATTTTGAATTCGAATTCTCATCAATGCTTATTTGATCCTTCTTAGCCCATGTACTGGAGTGACTGACTTTAACCTCTTTGTCTCTTACATGTAATAAAGAAATGTAGAGCTTTAAGGGTTCCTCTCTATCTGACTTGGTTGTTGCTGGTAGACACTGGTTTAAAACAATACAGCAGATACAACTTTAACACAGACTCGCTAACTAGTAGTTCCCGGATTTGAACCTTCATGTCAGTTTTGAAGTCTTGTGATATACCATTAATTGGTTGAACCCATTCTTCAGAGTTTACTTATTTATTGTATCTTTAAAGCTGCAAAATTGAATCAATTGCATGCCATTGATATAATTAATGTTACTGAATAATGTTGCAGTGAATTTGCTAAAACTGCCTGCATTAGCTGCTCGATAGTTTTCTTTTGAACAGAAATTTGTTGGTGTTGATTACTACCCTAAACGCTAGAACCATACTAATTAACAAAAGGTTGAAAGCGATAATATTCTGTCTCTTTTCTCTGTCTTGCAGATTCTGTGCATTCATCTGAAACGTTTTAAGCATGAAATGTACTTCTCTTCAAAAATCAACCACTTCATTTCTTTCCCTTTGACTGGGCTGGACATGAAACCTTTCCTTGTTAAAGGTTTGTAATGTTTTATTTTTTTTTACTCATTTAACCTTTTGAGGCATCTTACAGCAAGGCCAAGATCATGAAGTAGATGGAGCTATTAGCTGGCTGCCGACGACTGTTACAAAAAAAATACAAAATTTACTTTTATTTATAAGAATACTCAGGATTAAATTATAAAATTATAAATTATAAAGCACATCTTAATAAAGAAACAAGTATGAAAACCTTCTTTTCAATGAATCTGTAGTTGCAATGGCTCTCGTAAAACCACACTGAAATTCATTCTAATTACCATAACTGTAAATCTACTAGACTAGTGTTTTACCATGAATGCTGCTCTCTTATTGGCTATTCTACTGTTTGCTCTCTAGTTTGTTGTAGATAGTGAGTAGCGTAGTGTGTACAGTTCTCAACAAAAAGGCAGCTGTTTCTTTGCATTTTTAAAGTGTTGACATCATTATTTAAAACGTGAACCAGTCTTGTTGTTTAAGTTTTAAGCAACTGGTACATTTATATTAAAACAATTAGATTATTTGTTCTTGATTCCTACGCATGATAGTTGACTTAGGCTACACCCTTGTCACCTATCACACTAAAGAAACCTTGAGTTTATAATTTAATTGTTACAATTAATGATAGAATTTACTGGTACTACCTTATAGTCTAATACGTACTTAAACAATACTTATAATCTAAGTTTTTGGGTATTCAGATTTCAACCGGCTGGATCCAAATCAGAAATGTACAACGTATGATCTTGTTGCTGTTATCACTCATCATGGCAATGTTGGAGGTAGGTGTCCTCATATAGTTTCTTTTTGTATTTTCTTTCTTCTGCAGGCTTTTCTCTTAGTGAACACTTGCAGCCATGTTTCTATGCTCCTGTTTATAGTAAAATAATGACAATGTTTTGTTCCACCTAGCTGGACATTATGTGTCCTTTGCCAAGAATTATATCAATGGTAAATGGTACGAATTCAATGACTCCTGGGTTAGTGAAGGTAACTACAACAATGCTGCTACATTACTAAAGTTTACAAATAATTTTATTACATTATTGAGTCAACAGGCTTTAAATTTTAACATACATTTTGAGAGGAACTTGATGTGACTTTAATCCTGCTTTGCACTGTGTCAGATACGAAGCTTATTTGTATTTTACTTGGTTTAACATTTCAGTTTCTGATTCATATGTTGCTGATGTGGAAGCCTATGTGTTATTTTACAGGTTTGTAGTACCCTGTACTAGAGGATTCTTTTAAACCACTTCAGATGTAGAGATAAGTCCCTTTTAAACTACCTTTCCCACTCTCCTTAGAACCTCACTTTCTCATTAATTAAGGCTCCTTATCAAGTTGGTTATGCCTGATACAGAGCTTGTATCTGTCACAAAGCAAACAGTTGAACAAAGAAATAAAAAAATTCATGTTTAAACTTCTCTGCAGAAAATCAAGTGAAGAAGCCACCAAGGAACGCAAGACATTTTTTAATTTGCTGAAAGATGCACAGGTCCTGCTAGTAGATGTATAGTACTTCATTAAGGAAACAGGTTTATATCAATGTTGTTGCCCAGTGATATTCTTCAAGTCCTTTGTTAAGAAACTTATGTCACTGTGCCAAGCAGGCAGTTCAAGAAATTAATTTTAAGGTTGGGCCATGCTACAGATTCTGAATGTTGACTTACGCAAGGGTATAATAATATTATAATTAAGTTAATTTAGGTCATTCCTTGTACCAGAAAAACTGTGGAGAAGTAAAGAAAACAGTGTACCAGAACTTGGTCAGAATACATTTTTGTTCTTTTTTTGTGGGTGGAGCTGCTTTTCACTTTAATTTGGATTTTCTTTTTTCATACAGTCCAGTGAATTCAGATACTTTGTGTCCAAGAAATGGTTAACCAAGTTCCAGTCATGCATGGAACCAGGTAACAAAGACAAAAATTATGCTAGAAAGCCTCTGATTGACTGATTTGCTACAGTCATGTACATTATTTTTAGCATGGTTGAAGAAGATGCTTACATGTACTTCATCTCTTGTATGTTACAGGACCTATAACAAACTCAGACTTCATGTGTCGTCATGGAGGTAAGTGATCAATCAGTGCAATAGTGACCTTAATTCCATTCCTCTGTCTAATCACAGTTTCTCCCTAGGCAGTGATCTACAGCCCTATTTGTCTATACATTATCAGGACGTTATAAACAGATAGTTGTCAAGTAGAAAGGAAACCATCCACTACAGGAACTGATATACAATACCATAAATTGGCAGATTTAAAATCCAGAAAAACTAATGTGCAAAAAGTGGGGAAAATTATAATAATTTTATTTGAAGAGCTTTTTGGTCTCCAGAAGTTAAATGTGAGACTGTTGTAGCATGTTATAAAAGTAGGCAAATTGTGTAGTTTTATAAGAAAAAAATATGGCATAAATTTATGACGTTTTAGCAGAAATTCTTTATCAGCTAGAGTGTAGGCACATATGATGTCATACATGTCAATGCTTTGTCCTGGTTGAATGCTTTCCTATTTTTGGTATCACATTGTCGATAAATATATGAAAAAGCAAACGCTAAATATTGAGTTGTGTATGCAGTGGGGATTTGTATTGCATGCCTCTCTCTGCCTATGACTGCACAAGGTTTCTTATTATTTCTTATTTCCTGTAGCTATTCATCCATTAAACATGGAAATAGTTCATGACATCACAGTTCCTCTTCCTGAATCTGTTTGGAAACATCTCCTGACGCGGTGAGTTCAATAGCATTCCCATACTTTTGTATGCTCATAAAATTTGAGGTATGAATCAGGATTGACCTCTTTAAATCTTGCATGTGTATAGGTTTGGAGGAGGACCCCCAGCCACAACACTGAACATGTGCAGACATTGTAAGGTGCGGAAGCTTATGACAAGAACTCTTGTTTAAAACAGCAGTTACTTTACAGTGTTCATGGGAACCTTGATGTACCAGTACATTTTAAAATTACAAATGCCTCTTGGTTGGTTTCTGTCGTTGTCATGAAACAAAGGAATAATCATTTTCTATTTTTTCTGTTTTGAACAAGGCAAAACATAGGATGCTGACCATGTTTTTTGGCCCATTTTTTCCTCAAAACTAAGTGGAAACTAGCAAAAAAGAAAGCCAGGGCAATGTTTTTCAATTTATTTAAAGGTCACATGCACAAATTCTGCTAATTTGAACCAAAACAAACCCAAAATCACCATATATCCCCTTTTACCACTAGCTTCTTCAACTATTGTTCAAGGGATTTGATGTTGTGATATAACTTGTGACACAACATTATATATTTTTAGCAAACACTACTAAGAAAATATGCACGCTGATTGGTTAAAAACACATAACTAGCACGAGCTGTCGACGTAATGATGGCGCAGGCAAAGAGAATTTACATTTTGATAATCAAAGTTAACAAGTTGTTTTCCTTTTTTTGCCATGGTGTTTTCTAAAAGAAATAGAAAACATGTTCTCTGTGTTTTTATCAAGTTATAGAAACACTCGTGAAAGTTTGGGAGAACTCAAAAAAGCTGTGGAAACGCTAGCATGCTGCTCGTGTTCCCACAGCATTTCTCATTCTCTCCACTTATGTTTCTATAACTCGATAGAAACACGGTGCATGGTTTCTATTTCTTAAATAATGTGTTTGTGTATTATAACAGAAAGCACTAGATGAACTTGAAAGAAGAAGAGAAAGAGAAATGGAAACATTCAAAAGGGTAGGTACAGTCATTCTAATGTCACTGCCAAACTAGTTGAAGTTTACAGATAGCATGTGAATAGCTCTTGAAGAATCTCATTTTACAATGATCCTTTGACTTTAGATTGCCCAACAAACTGTCCCTTGTTACATACATACATACATACATACATTCTTTATTCAAGACGCACAGTTACAAAAGTATACATATAAAAACAAAAGATAAAAAAGAAAAGGTGTCTCGAAAAGGAAGTTATGAGGTAAACCCTATGTAAGATGTATGTATGAGGTAAACCCTATGTTGGCCCCATTTTAGAATTTTTATCTGCTAGGCCTATTCTTTAGGAGATCCTTCTCAGTTACTAAGATAGTCAGCAGTTAGCAGATAACCCTCGCTATTATAATCATCCTCAGACAAGTTTTATTGTGTTATCAGCTGAACCATGACTATCCAGCCAATGACAATGTGGATATGTACTGCATCAGTATGCGATGGTTTAAACAGTGGGAGATGTTTGTTAAGGGACACGAGGATGGTAAGACTCAGCAAAAGAATGTTGTGTCTCTTAAATGACCTCTTTACTAAAGGAGCTTTTATATAACCGGTCTTCCTATAAATATGCCTTGAAGCTTTTTCACCTTCAACAGGTTAACAAGAGGCCAAAAGTTTATTTTGAAACACTGCTACACTTATTTTAAAATTACAGTAGCTATAATTATTTGTTTGAATAGTGTGAATTGAAGCTGACTGGATGTGATCTTCCAGAGAAATTAAAACTAAGCATTATATATGAAAACTACTTGTTGTTTTTCAGATCCCCCAGGTCCTATTGACAACTCTAACATTTTATTTATGAAGGGCAACACTAAAATACTGAGAACCAGTAAGTATCTAAGATTATTAAAACATCCTTCACTTTGCGCATTTCTATGAAAAACAAATTCAAGTGATGCATTAAATCAAACTCCTTGAAGGATAATGTTTTCTACCAGCTGGGCTTTTTAAATTTTGAACTGAAATCATTTGAGACTCGGCTTAAAAATACACTTTTTCCTGTGAACTGACCACCAGCAAATTATTGTTGGCTCAATGGCAGGTGTTTCATAAGAACCAGACACCAGGCAAATTGACTAGCTGTGAGGATGATTTTGCCCACCTGGTTTGACCATCTAGTGGAACGTTTTTCTTATAAAGAAGTTCAGTTCAAATAGTTCTGCCTGCCTGTGAAAACCAGTTGCCCTGAAACATTAATGAAACCCCTGCAACAGACTGTTTTGATTGGCAGTAAAAAACACGCACACTTTACAGAAGCTGCATCTAATCATGAATACTTCAAGTCACGGTGATATATTCATTATCTGTCTTTACCTTATTTAGACTCAGACTA